TCCCATTCTGGTTTCTCCTGAGGTTATCAAAGGTTCTGTCAGGGTTTTCTCAGTTTTTCTGGCCAAATCTAATTTGTATGGTTGATTCTGCTTCTGTACAGCCCTCTGTATTTTCCTTTTTAGGTGCATTACTGTCAAGCGCTAGTGAAGAGGTGCCAGAGTCTGTAACTTCTCAGTCAATAAAAATATCTTCAGCAACACTTCAATTTTGGTCTAGAATTTCTGTTATCAATGTTCCAGAAATAGTACCGAGTTACTCATTAAGAATAAAATTTAAATTTGTCCCTGGGGAATGATATTCTGTGCTAAGTTAAATACCAACCTCAGTTCTGCAGTTCTGTTTGTCTGCACTACAATCAATTGATTTCAATCACTTTTGAAATGGTGACTTGACTAATACTTTTTAACGTTTACAATTCACATTTAGTTCTCAGAAGAGATTGGGAAACTTGAAGACAAAGTCGAATGTGCCAATAATGCTCTGAAAGCGGATTGGGACAGGTGGAAGCAAAACATGCAGTGTGATATGAGATCAACGTTCACCAATGTGGCTGAGAATAATCTCCGTTATTATGAAGAGGTAAAACACTTTCTCATAGCAATGTTATTTTTTCATTGATTATTTCAGTGGAGAAGTCCACGGGTTGTCTGTAAAGAGGAACTTCTGCATTTTAGTTCAAACCTGTGTTAACTTCAGAATCGTTTTTTGCGGGAAGAGGGAGGCAGTTATCCTTAATTTGACGCGTATCAAGCAAAACGTATTTTATTTGTGCCCAAGTGGTTGATCCCGAGTTCATCATCGACAGAGGGCACTCTTGTTTTACTAACCACAACAATTTGGAAGACATTTTTCAGTTCAATGTCAGCTGCTACATTTCAGTTTGGAAACCTTTTGCTGTAACTGCATGAAGAAGCCCTCTGGAAAGCTCAAACTCGTGTAAATGATCTTGTATGAGGAAAACATTTAAATGTGATTCCATTTCAGACAGCACATTCAGGAAGTCCTCGTTGTTATTTCTCTAAGGAATTGTCTTTCGTGAAATAATCAGACTTTACAAGGATAAAGAACAACACCACAATTTTGAGAAGTCAATAGGAAAAGCTTATTGCACTTTTTAAAAAAATCAAATGCTGCAAGTGTATACGATTAATAAATTGAATCCTTTTAGAATTGAAACTTACTACTTCAGAAAGGAAGTGGTTGAAATTAGATTTTTATTTTCAACTCAAATGCCACGGCTAATATTCTTGGTAAGAATTCCCTTTTACAAGAATATATACTAAGAAAGAGAACTTGAAAACATCTAACAAAATATATGAAGCATTCTGTGAAGTTTCTTCATGGGGAACATGTTGTTGATTGAAATGCGCATTTTGAAAATATCCCAGATGTCTTGAATTTTTTTAAAGAATTTCTCCTTATTTGGGGAAAAAATTTGCAATACACTAAGCCATCTATTAAACATAAATTAGTAATTTTTACAGATATACGTTGACATCTCTAACTTCCAATCCTGTATTTTGAACTTTTTATGGATTGCCCGTTAGCCAATGACAGTGTCCTGATTTTACAAATCATTTTGTTAAAACATAATTGAAAAGACAGAGCTCTTGATCATCAAGTCTAATTAATTAACATACAGTCTGTGAGATGCACGGACATTAACAATCTGTTGTTACATATTAAGATCAAAATATTTTCTGAAATCAGGCAGCAAGCTTTTGGCATCCTCTCACATTTTCTTCAGTTATTGATGATCTCTGACTTCTATATTAGCAATACATATGTTAAAACGATGCTAAATATATTGGAATATTTTGTTAACGAATGATTAGCTAAATTAAAACACAGAAATAATTCTTTGGTTCTCTTTCCTGTCTAGAAATGCTTTTTGCTGAATTAGAATTTTAATTCAGAACGCCAAAGCTCATACTGTACATGAAATTACTATCATTAAGTCACAAACTGCAGAAAATGGTTCAACTATCTCTGCAACTGCCAGTGGTTCTTCTTAAATAGCCTCTGAAATACTGGACAAATTGGTTTTGAGAGACAAATTACTGAGACATTATTCTTTGTTGAATACTGTAAAAGAATACTGAGGCAGTATTCTTTTATACTGAGACATTATTGCTTTTCTTGAATATTGAAATCTGCATAAAATGTTTCTGCTGTTATATCCCGGTAGATCTAGATTTTAGAAAAAAATACCTTATCTTACTGCAGCGGTTGCAGCAGTAACAGAAAACATTGTGCTAACTGTATCACTCCTCGTTTGCAAAGTGAGGGCTTAGCAATTTTTTTCTGTTTTATCAGAAAATCGTTATCTTAATCCTGGCGTTCACGAGAACTTGATAAACTTAATATTAGATTGGGAGTTTTGATCTAAAGTATGTGTGTTTATTTGAGACCTGTGGTTAATGCTGATGGTTAATTATCAGAGAAGTGATTACTGTCAGAGGCCCTTATATTACAAACTACAGGTGCGTAATGCACTCCTGAAAACAGCAGAAAAGGAAGGCCTAGCATCTGCTTTCGCTATGTGGAAGTGACCTTCAGGAAGGGCATCTCAGAAACCTGAGAATCAGAATATGATTTTTATGCTTTCAGTAGAAAACAAAATCCTACCCTACAGATAATAGTTTGAGTCTTACTCATTAAACTCGTGCACAAGCGCAGTGCCTGTTACCGCGTTTTTCACTTGTTCAGTCCTTACTTGAATCATTCATGTTCTCTCACATGTCCAAAGTTAAATTACTCGTTCATGCTTTTGATGCACCATTTGCTGCTTACTGAGCCTTTTCTTCTTGTAGTATCCCTCATCTTATTTCTTGCCTTTTTTCCCCCCAAAGCGTGTTCTGTGCATGCTCCCAGGCACCATGGATGCCATGGATATGGTTCAGTTGCCCAGCTCTTCTGTCCATCTCCTATGAGGAATCATCTCCTGCTTTCTAATTCAGTCACTACCTGCTTCTCCTCCTTTCCACAGCTTCCCCCCGCCAGTTCAACTCCTATTCTTGCCTCTCCACGAGCAGTGTCCCGCTCCCTTCTCTACAGCAGCGTTTCACTGCGCTCCTCATTATTCCCCGGTCTTGCTGACTTCATTTCCCAGGCGCACAACCTAACCAGGAGTCATTCCTGTTAGTGGCCGTTCTCTGCATCCCTTAAATTTCTGAGAACCGCAGCGTAACCAGAGACAGACTTCTCATGTTTTCTGGTGGCTTTTGCAGTAGAGAATCCAGTCCTTCAGGACTGTATAAAACTAAAGGCAGCGTGATCAAGTACAACGTAGCCGTGTGTCAAACTACACTAGAATTTCTAAAATGTTATTTCCTCTTTGTCACAATTTGGCACAATATGGTGAAATAGTCTGACCTTACATTTGTTTGGATTTTTCCTTAATTGTAGTTGCTAAAGGTTCTGCTGTCAGCTTGTCAAGCATCACTTAGCTAGCATAAAAGCGTATGTCTCCCTTAAGCTGAATTAAAGTTCACGTTACATGAAGTGCTACTTTAAAGTGTTACCTGTCATTATATTTCTCTGGATTCACTAATTGAAAACAAGTAGAGGTATTTCTGTAGCCTTCCAGTTTATTGACTATCTACATTTAATATAATTGAATAAGAAGTGTGCCTTTGTTTCTACAGCTGTGGAATCGCCAATCTCTTTGTGTCTCTCAACGCTGTGGTAACAAAGACACTAATTAAGGCCCAGTGATGCAAATTTACAGGATGCTCCTATGCAGACCTATGAGCATGAAGGCTTTCCTGTGATAACGTACAAGCTATGTTATAATACATTTAAATATAACGTCATTTGGTAGCCAAGAATTACCATGGCTGACCAATCATTTGGTATTCCTGTAGCTGGTCTCAAGAGTTCATAGAGTTGTCTACTTCCTTTCCTTTGCTTCTGGAAAAGAGTTGAATACGTGCTTAAGTCTCTCTGTATTCCACAAGGGCTTAAAGCCAATAACGTAATGTGTTAATAATGACTGCGAGTGCATTGCTATTCTGAAACAATATGAAAAGGTTTTAATTTTTAAAAATTCAGAACTTTACTCCTATTTCTGAAGTAGATGGCATCGCTTCGTTTGCCTTACAGAGAAAAGTTCTTGAATGAAGTATGTGTTAACACCGTACTATTTATTTGATCCCTTTTCCCCCTGCCTTAGGTGTGACACTATGGTCTGAAATAGCACACCGTAGTCCAGAAGAGGTAGCTGCCAAACAGGTGAAATCACAAACTGTCCACAGGGTGGAGCTTACAGCTGAGGAAGCTGATTGTCACCAGGAGTACTGTCATTAAGTTCGGTATAGATATTCTGCAGACCCCTAAAGATGCAGCATTACTAAAACCAAAACAAGACACAAAGTTTGGTGGTGGTGGTGGTGGTATTGTTATTTAGCTAGCATGTCTGAAGCGTTCCTGGTACAAATTAGCAAAACCAAACCAGGCAATGTTGAACTCTGGCTTCAAAGAGCAATTAAACATTTACCAAGTTTTTCCTTTTGTTTTTCTCATGTGTTTACTGTAGTCTCTAGGATATTTACAGCATCAAAGAAAAAGGAACACTTCAGTTTTTCTCAGCAAAGAACTTTCTTGACCTATTCTATTCAGAAAAAACACTGGAATAAGTGGCTAGGTTTTGCAGCCTGATCCAAAGACTAGTTAGACATTATAAATCCAGCAAATACAGCAGAGTTTGGTTTTCCACTGCTCATGAGGCACTCTAGTAAATGCAGGAAGATTGGTTTTTTTTTCATGATGTAGGATGATATTTAATTAGTTTTGGCACTGAAATAACATGTTTTTTCTTGTGCATGGATGAGCATGTTTTAAAGCGTAGCCTCTAATTTTATTTTTCTCATGTCAAACTAATCCAGTTAAACCTTTGCAGCTTAATCAGATAAAAAGCTAAAGTTATCTTTGATATAGTGAGATTCTTGTTGGTATTGATATTGACACAGCTTACTCTTATTGAAAAATATAAATAATTTCCTGATTTTCTTAACTATTTCAAGCGTAATTTAGTTTACTTCTGTGACCTACGTTGTTGTACAGGCATAAATTGATCCAAAAGATTCATTAGGGCAAAACAATACTCCTTCCCCATTACAGCAGCTTCCCTCTAGCTCCAAAGCCCTTATGTACCTCTCTCTCTAGAAAAACAGATGAGATTTGTTGTTTGCCCTAGAGGCCTCTGTAGCGATGCATTTAACTAGTCGTTTGGTTGCGTAGCAAAAAGTTAGCTGCTCCTGCATGTTGTTCACATCCTGCCTTAGCAAAGCCTGGGAATTTAGCTAACAAACTTCATGTGATTTTCAAAAGCACCCACATGGCTGAGCCCGTTTGTCCCTGTGCATGTCGTTTCAAAGCCAGGATCCATCTTTGAACCCTCATTCACTTCAACCATAAAAATTTCTTTTAAATACTTTTCGGAAGACGTTTTTGTGTAGTGGGAATGACGATTTCTACTCGCTCTAGTTTTTGTTTCCTTGCACCCAGAAACTACGGAAGTATTTTTTGTCTCTCTCTCTCAGACACACACAAGACTCCATTTTCAGATTCTACTCCAGAAAATGCCACCATAAATGATATTTTTAAGGTATCAACCATGGAAAACAGGGAACCGGAACAGAAACACACATGGCATGTGACACACTGCTTCTGTTATCATTCTATTTTTATATCTACACATTCTATTTTTATATCTCCTTTTTAGTTCAATATGCAGTTGTACTATATGAAAACCTTTTTGCTGTTTTTTCTAAGAACGATATTGCAGAATAGATGTGTGACCTGCAGCAGTAATCAGAATATTTTAGGTAAAGTAACCTTATTTAAGGTCTTGCTATTTCATTTTGTGTATTTAGGCTTTTTTATGTCTTCCGCCAGGCTTTTACAAGTAATTGGATTATGAATTTCAATCCTAGGCATGCACATTTAATTTCCTGGGTTTGGTTTTTCTTTTTTTTCCCCCTTTCAGTCTCCTTTATGAAAGCTGGCTGATCCTCTATTTAGATCTCCGTTTTCAACCTCCCAGGAGAATGAAGTAAAATCATTCTGTAATAATGTTGAAGTATACATCACTAACGAAATGTCGTTTATGCAGTTCATGCTTCACAATACAAAAAGCCTGAGCCTAAGGCACAGAGACCTAGTTTTGTTTTGGTATGGTTAATTATAAAACTTGTCGGCTGTAGCGGCACTGTGATGTCTGACAGTGAAATGAGCCACCATTGCTCTTGCATTTTGGAAAATGTGTTTCCATTATATAAAGGAGGATAAATTAAAACCTGAATAACTTGTGTAACTGAAAAAAGTGCTTTGCTTTCTTGTCTGGAAAGACTTCAGTAGATTGTATCTATCTGGTTAAGCAACATACTGTGATTGCATTTTAACACGTGCAGTTTGGCTCAGTGTTGCAAAGATAACAGAAAGCCATTTTTACATTCCAGTCAGTGCTGATATACATATTTTAATTAACATTACTGAAATTACAGAATGACAAAGCATGGAGTTACATGGTATAAATTAAACCGTGATGCAGAAAAAAACCATCAGTCATTGTCAACAAGAGACTCTTCCAGAAACAGTCATCATTTCTTGTCCCCCACCTAGAAGAGGCCTAGGAAAAGAGATGTGCCTTGCAGCTTTCTAGGATGGTAATCCAGGCTGGGCTCTAGCAAACAGGAATGCGAGTCCGAGCGCCACAGTGCAGACACATTGTTAGCAGCTGCCTCACTGACATTTTAAAACCAAGATGCCACCTTCCAGCTCAAGCATCTCAGAGAGACTCAGCTGCCAGCGTCACGTGAAGTAGGGGAGAATCTAATGATCGGACCTTAAAGGCTTTATACAAAAGGTCAAAAAGACCTTTTAAGTCAGAAATCAGTTTGCAATTCACTGTTCATGCTAGCACTATATTTTCACCGTTTCTCCCCGATTTTATATCTAGCATTTCAAAATAACATTTCTCCACAAAGTCAATGAAGAAAGCAGATTTCCACATGAATCTTATCCTGTTATTCCTCTCTTTTCACAGGAATTCAAACCTTAGATGTGCTCTGAAGCACATAATGTTGTTGTGTGCAAAAGCAGCAGTAGTTAGTTGGGGATTTTGTCAGCAAGATCAGAAAAGAAAGATTGGGGGAGTAGTTTCATGGTTTCCATACCCTAGGGAACAATATACGAATAACAGGAACAGTCTCTTAATATGCCTGAAAACGACCAAAAACCTATGCAGACATAAGCTCCCGCATACTTTTTTCTTTGTGGTCTCTTAGGTCAGTCGGCTGTTTTAACCTCTCCCATTTTCTTGCAGACCCGCGTCTTCTACTTTTTTATGTCTTCAGAGACATAATCGCTGCTGACTTTTGCTTGTTTTTTTCTTGTTACTTTTGTCACCCATAATTTTACGGGTATCCGTTCTGCATCCTTGTGCCATCATGGATTCCCCCAACTCCGGTCATCCTGTGTGTCTTCTTCATTTTGCTCCTTGAGCTTATGCTTCAACATTATTCATGACTATCAGATCCTCCCACTCGTCCGCTTGCACACAGATATGCAGTAATACCAGGACCTAGGCTCTTTAATGTAATATGATTAAATCGACACATTTAATGGCAGAGTTTTGAAGTCATTCACTAGAAATGTCTAATAAGACAGCGTAAGGTGGCTTATAAGTTCAAGCAGCATGAATGCTAGCGTATATTTTCCATGTCTCCTAAGCAATGACAGATGGATATAAGATGCTTCATTGTAGCTGGGCATAGCAAATTTCTGTGGCTTGACTAGCTTACGGCAAGTTTTCACATAGGAAACGATGCTGTTTTCAGGGTACTGATGTAATTCAAAGTCCAGATAAATGGAGCATGCTGTCCAGGTTTTAATATAAAAGCAGATATTTCCTGAGAAATTTCGGAAGACTTATTTATTGTGAATATTTCAGATTCTTCATGAAAAAACCTGTGTACAGTAAGTACTAAGTAAGCTGCGTTGTCAAGAGCAATAGGAATGAGTGTGTAAGTTGAAATTTTATTAGAACGTTTCCATTTCAAGGTGGGGGGTTTTTTTTTCAGTCACATCAAAACAATAAAATTATCGCATGACTTTGCCTGCCCTGTTCTAATGACAGACTTGAAATAGTAGAAACCTGGTACTTCGGGTAACAAGCATCAGCACACCGTGGGTTACCTAGTGATAGCCTTGCCATGACTCTCAACACTAATCTGTGATTTACAATGGTTTGCCAAGCTGCCAACACTCATTTAAGCCAAATTGAACCAAAGTAATTTAGGGATTTATTTTTTTTCCCCCCCCGTTTTACTGCCTACAGTCGTGGTGCTTCAAATTAAAAAATTAGTTTGTACAATTATAAATACATTTTTCCATGAGGAGAGAAATGCCACTTTTTGTAAGGATGACAATTTCCCCACCTCCCCACCGCCTGCCTTTCTGGTCCCATTTCTTTCCCATTACTCAGGGGAAAAATGAATTCTCTGTGTGTTTAGAAAAAAACTGATTTAATTTAACTTGGAAAGAAAATTGGGTATACAATAGGAATCCACAGAGATTACAAGGGAACCGTGCCTGACACCGCGCTTTCTATTTGGAAGAGATCTTTGCCTGTAACTAAAGGGAGAGATTAAAGAAGAGCATAATTAATGTTAGCATCTTCCATGCTAACACATACAATTACGATGCTCACACTGTGCGCTTGTCATTATGTAAAAGTGACCTTTACAGCTCGCTCAGCATGTTGGCTAACATTTTGCATATCACTGAGCTGCCTAGGAAACCATATTTTGCTCTTACCATAGACCCACAAAAGCAGCTTGTGACAATGCGTATGTATTCTGCTTTTTTTTTTTTCCCCCTTCTTTTTCTCCTTGGCTACCAGTTTTACAGAAATCTGTCTGCTATATTCATATGTATCTGTGTTTTTTTTTTTAAAGTGCCTTGCTACATGGGAGTCCTTCCTAGCATCTCAAACAGTGGATCTTCACGTGGAAGAAGATTCTGAAGATAGGCCTTGAGTAATATCTCTGCTCGATCTCTGCCTTTTCTCTGCAGTTTCTCCCAACCAAAGAAGTGCTTTATACAAGATCAGATACATTATTAAATTTAACTGTTAATAATCAGTGAAATGCGGGAAACCAGCTTATTGAAAACTCAGGTATTCTAGTCCTGAAATACGTTTTGGAACATGCTATAAATTGCTTTATATTGCTTAGCTGTGATTTTACATATTTTTATGCAAGTGTTTGCATACAATTGTTTTCATAAATATTGCATAATTTGGATATAAAGTATTTTAAATATGTACAAATAGCTCCATTTTAATAAAAAGTTTAATAAGGAAAGCTTGTCTTCATTCTGTATCCTAGTCTTTAAGAAGTATTTTGGTGTTTTAGCATGCTTGTTATATTCTCTTTGTTGAGTAATTTCCTGTACTTGTAAAATTACCTAGCGTAGTCTTCAGGGAGCTCTTTAGGATTATTTTAATGGATTGTGCTCGTCACCCGATGGCAACGTGGTACGGAAAGATGCCGAACATGTTCTGTGAGATTAGTGCTGCTTTAAAGTGCTGTTAATTCAGTTTTCAGTTTGCAGTATTTACATGTCTATTAAACGTCTTCAGTTTGGCATTTTTTAAAGGCTAAAGAAAAAACTTGACAGTTCATGAAGCAGACTGTTTCTACAATGGTACAATGGCAGTCGCGGCACTGAGCCTGCCAAGGCAAGAGCCTCCCATTTGGAGTTTGCAGGATCAACCCTTTTACTCGCACGGCTGATCCTCCTGTAATCCTTAACTTCCTCCCTCTTTGGATAGCCAGTGTGGAAGAGAAAGGAAAAGAGAGTTTTGCATTAAAATGATTAGCTCGCTCACTCATGCAACATACATTAAAGTGTTCCAGCCATTGAATTATTCCACCCAAAGGGCTGTCGGTCTGCACTTGTAATTCCTGCAGTTGTTCTCCCTGGTGGTTAAGGTTTGAGCAAGCCTAAGTCTGAATATGGAAAGAATGAGGTGCAGGAATTGGAGGCAGCCGAACCCGCGGCTCCGGCCTCGCAGAACGGCAGGGCTTCAGCCTCACCTTCACCTTTTGCGGAGGTAATTTGTGAGCTTGCTCTTGTCAG